ATCCTAATAATTTTTTGGGTAGCTGTAATATTGTTAAATATACTTAAATATATATATTTGGTCTTCCTTTCCTTTTCCTGGCATTCAACTCATAAAACAATTTGTCTTTTTCTGCATGCTAATAACTGACTGATGGCTGGCAGCCCCTAAGTGCTTGAGGATGGTGTTATGGTTTGGGTCTAGATGTCCCCCCAAAGCCTAATGTAGTCATAGGTGGATTTTTCAGAGGTGGCTAAATCTAGAGTATGTGATGCTAACATTAAGAGCATGTGGTTAGTTTGCTATTGCCCTAATCCTGGTAGTCTGGATTAGATAAAAGGGGTAGAAAGACACTATTGAGATTCCCTTATTGCTTTGCTACTTTTGGTCCCCCATGAATTGTTGCCCATCTGCCATGTGCCATCCTGCCTTGAAGCCAGCTGACTATGGACCGAAGCCTCTACAAACTGTGAGCTAAATAACTTTTGGTGTTGGATATTTTATCTCAGCAATAAGAAAAGTAACTCAGACAGATAGGAATTGGTTACTGGAAAGACCAAAGCATAATTACTGGGTTTTCAGCACCACTTACAACCTCCAGAGAAGAGGGGATAAAAGTTAAGTTGATTACCAATGGCCCAAAATGTAATCACACCTGCCTACATAATAGAGCTTCCATATACACCCAAAAGAACTGGGCGCAGAGAGCTTTTGGATAGCTGAATACATGAAGGTTCCTGGAAGGTGGTGCACCTGGAGGGAAGACATGGAGGCTCCACACTCCTCACATGCAGGTCCTTATGCATCTCTTCCATGTCATATTCATTTGTATCCTTTGTAATATCCTTTACAATAAACCAGTAAATGTGTTTTCTTGACTTCTGTGAGCTGCTCTAGCAAATTAATTGAACCTGAAAAAACTGATTTATAGTAGATCAGTAAGAAGAAGCACAGAAATAGCAAATAAACATATAAAAAAATGTTCAACATCACTGGTTATTTGAGAGATGCAAATGAAAACAACACTGAGATTCCCCCTCACTCCAGAAAGAATGGCTGGTATCATGAAATCAACCAATAACAAATGCTGGCAGGGCTGTGAGGAAAGAGGAACCCTGCTCCACCGCTGGTGGGAGTGTAGACTGGTGCAACCACTGTGGAAATCAGTATGGAGATACCTCAAAGAACAAGGACTGGAAGTCCCATTTGACCCCGCTATTCCCCTGCTGGGGATCTTCCCCAAAGAATTAAAAGAATCATACCAGAGTGATATATGTGCACCCATGTTCATAGCAGCACAATTTGTAATAGCTAAAACTTGGAAGCAGCCTAAATGCCCATCTCCTGGAGACTGGATAAAGAAAATGTGTTTTTTTAATAAAATGGAGTACTACTCAGCCATAAAAATGAGAAATTAGAAACATTTATAGCTAAATGGATGCACATTGAGGCGATACTCTTAAGTGAAATAAATAGGACACACGTGTATAAAGACCGAATAGTTTCTCTAGTGTGAGAAACTAAAAGAGTAAGTAAGGACTAAAAGGTATAATAGATAATGTGAAATAGGAAGAAAAGGGGCAAAGGGGAAGGGGAAGTGGGAGGGGTAGGAGAAAGGAAAGAAGGGAATGGAATTAATATGAGAAAATGAAAACAAAGTCTTTGTAGATGGGAGGGATGGAGGGGTTGAAGGGAGGGCAGGGGAAGGGGGAAAATTAAGAACAAAGAGAGATTATGTAAAGGTGCAGATTTCCAGTGATGAATGTCATTATATTGTATACCTAAAATGTGCCAATAAAATAAAATTTAAAAAAAAATAAAAAAAGAAGAAGCACAAGTAGGATGGCAAGCCGGAGCTTGTGATTGCATCTGAAATGGTGGTTTATCTTCAGAGACTGATCCCCTAACCTATGAGTTCTCCAGGTAGATTGAGTCAGAAGTAAATTAAATTAGAGGATATCCATCTATTGACCCTTTCAATAATTGATTATCTGATAGATAGGAAAAATCCCACCTATCTGGTCACAGAAGTGTTCTGTATTATGAAAATAGGAGAAATTGATTCTGTTTTTCCAGCTTTCTCAGTAGAGTAAATCAGGACATTTTTAGGTGGCTTTCAAGACACCTCAGTCAAAATGTAAATCACTGTTTTCTATTACCATTGGTACATACAGCAAACATTCTTTATCCTTACTCTACCCCTTAACATCACTAATATGGGAAGTTTCATTTTCTATTTTATTTGTGTTTTGACTTATTTGAATTTTTAAAGAATCAATTAATTCAGGACATTCCTGTAATCTCAGCACTTGGAAAGCTAACTAAGGCAGGAGGATCACAAATTTAAGCCAAGCCTGGGTAATTTGTCAATTTAATGAGACCCTGTCTCAAAAGAGAAAAAAATAAAATATAAAGGGCTGGGCAAGTAGCTCAGTGTGAAGGCTCTGGATTAAATTTTCAGTACTGAAAAAATGTTTTTTTGAAAATAATTGGAAACAATAAAGATTGCTTTAACTCTTTTAGAACTGAACTAGCTTCTAAGAAGATATCCTCTCTATCCTCCAAACCCATCATCATAAATGAGTGGTTTTAGTACTAAACAAAATATCTGTATTCCTCAATGACACAAAAATACTGTTAGAAATATAATTAAGGATTCTTTGAACCAACCTAGAGCTCATAAGAAAATAACTTGTACTATTTTATCTACCAATGTTAGTATAGCCTAATAGCTATAAGATATATCTATATAACTTGAAGAATACAAAATATCAATCCCTTGCATTTTCAAATGTAAAACAGGGTAAGTATTATTATTAAACAGATAAATAAATGTATATTTATTTATTAATAAAAATAGTACTAGCATCATTTTTATAAAGGAGAGCTAAAACACTTGAAGATACAGCTGATGAAAGCACAAGTATATTTTCAGAGGAGCAGAAATGTTCTTGAGAATGATTGATAAACCTCTCTGAGATGAACAAGGGAGGTCAGCATCTGCTTTGTAGTTAGATGTGGCTTGTCTGCTAGATAGTGCCTAATATCATTTCTTTATCCATGAACCTCAAGCTCCCTCTCCTTCATACTGAGGGATGGGCAGCAGTGATGAGAGAGGCTTAGGAACTGGGTAAGGGTATCAATTTCACACATCAATTGTAGCACAATTGCACTAAAGTGGCTGCCCCAAAATAGCATATATCCAAGAAATGTGGAAAACAGATATGGTAACCATTTTATGGATGAAATAATTTTTATTCTTCATCGCATTCTCATACTTTATTTACTAGATTACATCTTTGCTGGTAGCAGATACTAACAGCACTGTGTGTGTGTGTATTTTAAACTTACATTTTAACAACCATAGCTTGGTAGATGACTCCACTTAAAATCCATTCCCTGTTTATACATAAAGTTCATTCAAAATGATAATGATATTAGTGAGTTAATAATCTGATATTTTACTGGGTTGTTTCACAGGTCACATGTTTCTAATTAAATTTTCATTGATTCCTGTGAAACAGCATCATGATGAACAAAGATTAGATTTAAAAGCTCTGCACACAGCACACAAATATAAATGTAAATACATAGTGAATTATTTAAAAAATTTTAAAGTTGATTTTGAACTTACCTTTCTGCAATAGTAATTCACAGATTCCTTTTAAAGTTACTTATGAGGTGACATTTCTAAATTGTTTCATTTTTAATTTTCTTCCTAGAAGATTTGCTAGTTGGCCAGATGTAGAATAATTACTAACAATATAATGTAGTACGTAAGAGCTTAGACTCTAAAGTGAATCCAACTATGTTCAAATTTGAGATCCACCATTTACTAGTTATTTAATTTTGAGAATTTTTTTTTACTTTTCCATGTCTGTGACTCAGTATCTCATATATTCTTACAAAGTTGTTGCTAAGGTGAGATAAATCATATAAATCTCCATAAACAGTACATGGCACATAGTTAAGTGACCAGTAAATAATTACTCTATGTTCATTCAGCAGAAAAATAAAGATGACAGGTTAACTCAATGACATTTTCCTCCTCTCCAGAATAGTGGTAGTATGTTTGGCCCTATGATACATATACATATCAGAAAGATATTCCTTTTCTGAAGGCACCCTTACATGAATATTCTGGAGTTCGGTGGTGCTGAAGTTCCTTGCAAGACAAAATATGGTGGGTAAATAGGCATTATGATTGAAATTTCAAGTAGTATTAAATACATGTTTAACACATTAAAATCTCATCTTGCCAGGTAAGGCACCTCTTAAAACTTATAGCTCCCTTTAACAACTAGATATTAAAGAAGCTAACAAGTTCACTGTTTCCCACGGTACATATATTTTACTATATGTGTTGCTGAAGTGAGCACTAGGGTACAACTAAAGTCAAGGTAAATTCCTTTGTAAAAACGCCAAACAATAAATATAAATGCCAAAATGCAAAGCATTTGTGGAATGATTAGGTTTTCCTAGGCCATTCCCACCTACATCCCAACCTCTGTTTCTGGGTAACAATCCAATCATTTGAACAAACCTCTTTCAAGTTATGTTAGTAAAACAGAGTTGCTAACAGACCTCACAGAAATCTCCTTTATTTGCAACTTGGTTTTGTAAAGAATACGACTTTTATCTCAGAAAATTGGTATGTCCCTAGGCAAATATCCCTTAATTTGGCCTGAGATTCTGAAAGGAAAGTACTTAGCCTTATAACCATCTTTCCCAAATGTAGGAACCATGGGGAAGCCACTTTCCTGTGATATTTGTGGCAAAATTTGGGCATTAGCATGTCTTTGCCTTCAAATTTCTGATTTCACGGGCTTAGAAAATCTGGCTTCAGCCTTGAAAGTCTTCATTTCTGCTTTTTCCAGTCTCCTTTACCTACTGAGTAACCTTATACCTGTTTTCTGGCAAGGCAAGGCCTCTCTTGGCTCACAAACCTGCCAGGTGAATCCACCCCCTCAGGGGCGTGTCAGTACTATTTCCCGGAGCAATCTCACAGGGTGGTTCCATTTTCCATTTAAGCTCAAATACTTTGCTGCCTCCTCTGCAGCTGCCAGACCCGCTCCAGCTACTGCTCAGGTAACTCAATCTCTCCCAAGCACCACTACACAAAGAGGTGTTTGATACATGACTTACATACGTGCCTGCATTTTTTCATTATCTTCATGTTTTTAATCCTTAGGGAAAGACTGACAAGATGATGAGCTCAAGCTATTGGAATGAAACCAGCAGTAGCTGTGGGACCCAACAGCCCTCTGAGGTGCTACAGTACCAGCCCCAGCATTACCATTGCCAGCATCAGTCAAGCCAAGTCCAACAGCCTCTAGAAAAAAATGTAGTCTATGAACGAGTGAGGACCTACAGTGGGCCCATGAACAAGGTAGTTCAAGCCTTGGACCCCATCGGTTCTCGGGAAGTGCTCTCCCCTCTCAAAACTGCCTCCTCCTACCAAAACTTGGTTTGGAGCAACCATTCCCAGGTACCACAAATATAGCTATTACAGGATACCGGAGAAAGGAAATCTTGAACCTCAGATTTCTTCTTCCTTTCTGCTTCTTTGCCTTACTTTACAGGATATCTCTTGATGGACTGCATGTGTACACTGGACAGTCTCTCAAATTCCATCTCTTAGCTGTTTCTTATTTACTACTGCTTGTGGCTATTTGCTTACCAATTACAATGATTTTTGTAATCTAGCCAGAGGATAAAAGAGCTCTTTTTTTTGTTGAAGTTAATTGGAAGATCTGATCTGAGTGGGGTATTATTTTGCCTCTAACGAGAAGCAAACCTTAACTTTCATACAGTAGTTTCTTTATGGTTCCTGTGGACTCACTGCATATTGGACACAAAAAAGTTATTTTTTAAATACCAAGTCGAGTGGTACAGAGATAATGGCATGTTGGAGTGATGAATAATTATTTGTGTTCAGCTAATATTATGCAATGAGTCAGGATAAGTGGCAGGTGCAAATGTCAGCTTGAATTGTCATATGTGCTTCATTTTTGGACAATGACACATTGATTCTTGTGCAGACTAGGTTAATTTTTTATGGAATGTTGGTATAAGGAATACTGAAATAGGAGATATAAGATTGAATAAAGCAAGGGGTAAGTAATTGTTATATGGAAACTACAAAATATGGAACTCTAAGACACTTTTTTTTTGGTACTGGGGATCGAACTCGGGACCTTGCGCTTGAAAGGCAGGTGCCAGAACCACTGAGCTAAATCCCCGGCCCAAGACACTTTTGAAAATGAAATAAATTTGTTTCTAAGGGTTTGTTATGTTAATAACCTTGGAAATGAATGAAAGGTAACATTGCAAGCCTATATAAAGTGAGCAGTTTTACATCTTTTTTCATTCTCTGACTCTCTTTAAATAAAATTTGCATGTTTTAAGCCTTCTGAAGGCTTCTGTCCAATCTGAAATACTGTTTCCAAGATATAATTTTTATTGAGATGTCTCACAAACCAACCACTGGTATGTTATTCTATGTTACATTATTATACCAGTTGGAGATAGTATGAATTATTTTTCCAAAATTTAAAAATTTAAGTAGGATATGAAACATTTCTAAAGTGCATAATAAAACTATGTTTAAAGAAATTTTCAAGTATAAGATAGTCCTGAAACTCCAAATGCTACAATTTTGTTCTTTTATTTAACACTTAGTGTAATTTCAGGGGAAAAAATACCAAAGAAAAAAAAAAGATCTAGGATTGACCCTCAGTAATTTCCTTGTTGAGAAAAACTTCACCTATACTGAGGTCAAAGGGAAGAAAAATATGAAGGCCAAAAATACTAGTTCCTATAAATGTTAATAATAATTAACATTCAAATATTCAGCATTAAGTTGCTAATGCACAACAAAGTGGGTTTAATCTTTGTTCCATAGTGGCCCCAAAATAACAAAGGCTGAAAACAACAATTACTATTACTATCAGAACACTAAAGTTCTCTTACTTGTCAGAGTTAGTTTATCCCATTAGCTTCTTTTCATGTGAACTTGTTAGTAAAAAAAAATACATACATATATATATGTGTGTGTGTGTGTGTGTACACATTTAAAAGCTGAAAATTGGAAAATTATAAATATTGAGTACAGAACAATTTTTAGTATCATGCTTTATTATTTGTTCGTTGGTTCAACTTTCTCTTTTAATAATACCAGGACCAAGCTGGTCAAGCTTTTTTATAAGACTTTCCTTTTTTACCTAATATTTTCCAAAGTGATATTTACAAAAGAAGTATTTCCATCCTGAAACAGGTGCTCATAAAAAAGTGTGTAAAAACTTTAGGAGCAGAATGTATGGCCACAAAAAAACTGACGTAAGAGATTGGAATTGAGGGCATTGTGAAACTTGAAGTTATTTATGACTGAAATGAAAGAAAAGTAAAGGCTAGGTACAGATGAGATGAGATTCAAGCTGTGTGGTAAAGGTAAACTAACAAACAAGAAAAGACTACTTCTCTTATTACCTTGTTGGGACAAGAAAAATCCCGACTACAAAATTTGGGTTGGATATCAAATCCATGATAAGAGAAAATGGCAGGACAGCTTTTAGATAGCTACTAGAAAGAATCTGACAAGAAAACTAGTCTATTTTATATTATTTTCCTTTCTCCCTGTTTATTGTTGGAATGGCATTGTAGCATTACGTAAAGTATACCTAAGTTTGATTTGAAATTACCTTCACACCAACAAAATGAAAAAAGATATGATGCAGTTTTATTATATACCAGGCCAACCAGGAGTAAGCAGTACATATTACTCAAAACCCTTTTGTTAGTTTTAGGTTTTAATAAAATATCTCTTTAATATGCTATGTTTCAGATGAGTTTATATGTAGTAATTATTCTGGTGCCAGAGTGTATGACTGGGGCAGCTAGGGAAATGAGCATTACATTCAATTGCTGGTCATGGTGAATTCAATTAAACTTTTACTTTGCTTTTTAGCATTTTAGTGTTTGAATAATTTTCAGAGAACTCATGAGATTTCAAAATAAATATTGTCAGTAATAAAAATATTCCCTTTGAGAAACTGAAACTGAGACCAATCTGTTTTGCTTCCTGAATCTTAATTTTAGCTCCTGTAGTAGATTTATATGTTAACCAAATGCTTTGCGCAGCATTTTAGTATTTTCCATTTCTGGTATTTTAGAAAATATTTCCCCCTACTCCACTCTTGTGCACTAAAATAGGATTAACAGATAAAAACACATTTAAAATTTCTCTAAATACATAATGTTGCTTTGTTTCTTGTCTATAATTGATCAGATATATTTTATAGTTTTGTTACTATTTTTCTGATAAATAAGGTATTCATCAGAGAAAATTAGATGTAGAAACTATTTAGTAATAAATTGTTTGAATTAATGGTAAAAATAAAATTACTATCTTTAGCCATATAAACAAGGACATAGATGCATTTTAGAACTGAATGTTGTCTTGTAAGTAAATGGAGTTCTAGAAGCTACTTAAAAGAAAAAAAAACCCATAGAATTCAACTTTAAAACTTAAATATTGACCTACTGCATTAACTTAAAATGAAATACTGCCTTAAATAAACAGGATTTATGGGAATTACTCATTGAAGTAACATTTTTTTTCTCCTATTAATTTAGTTTTTTATAAAGTTCAAGATATTTTCCACAAATACAGGGGAACTCTTGTTTTTGAGAAAGAAAAATGGATCAAAGTAAAATATTTTTAATTCCAATCACTCACTTAAACAATTATTAAGTGTTTATTTTATATGAAACACTGATTTTTCTGGATAAATACCATTTGCTTGTGCAGGGAGAGTCTACTTTGAAGATAAACATACAAAGCCTGGTCTGTAGCTAACCTGTATGCCTAATTACATTTCATTTCAAAAGATTATTTTGTATTGTGGCCACTAGTATAATGTATGTATTAGAAAGGTTGTTGTACATTTGAATTTGAAACTTGTAACTGAATATAACACTAGACTGCAGTCTAAGGGAAAACATGTACTTATGAAAAGGCTTCTGCTCTCAACAATTATTCAACTGGGGCTTACTTTCTTTAAAATGAGTTTTTCCCTTTGTTTTTGCTTCCAAAGATTGTATCCCAACTTTATTATGATTTCTATACACTATCAGAAAATTTTCCCATTCTGTGAGGAGTAGTGTGTTGCTTTGATAAATTGTTGTTCAAGGGTGTGGTCACTAAAGTAAATGATACTTCAGGGAAGTAGGTTGCCTGAAAAAAAGAATAAGGTCAAAGGATAAAGGAACTGTTGTTTTCAGCAGCTTACAATTAAATGAAACTATAAAAATTTCGAGTGCAACACATTGCTGGTGAAAATGCCCATGGCAATTTTCTTTTGTTTAAGGGAGGTCTGATAAATTGCTGGACCTGTTTTCAGTCAAGGGCACTCATAAATTGTCATTATGGAGTGACAGTGGGTAGTGGTCCAGCAAGAGAAAGAAAGGGGAACTTTTCTTTGACTGTCTTAGTCCAAATTTCTTTGACAATTCATGGAAAAACAGCTACAGATTTGCCATGTTCTTAAACTCCATTTAAAAGTTAACCTTGCTAAGTGAATATACTTGAGTCAAGATTTTTTCACACCAGAAGCTATTCTGATAGATACTTATACCATTGAAAGCAAAAGCATGTACTGCAAAAGGACCTGCATATTTTATTTCCTCTCCATCTATAGTTTTCTTCAAAAAAAGAAGAAACATGACTCAGGAATGAGTCTCTCACATAACAGATTTGAGTTTATGAAAAGGAGTTCCATGATTAGTACTTTCTATTATTTTTGTTGTTTGTTTATTTGTTTGTTTGTTTTGTGGTGCTGGGGATGGAACCCAGAGGCACTCTACCACTGAGTTACAGCCTCACCCTCTTTTTTATTTTGAGACAGCCAATTGCTTTGTTTACATGCAACAGAATCACAAATTTTATCCTAAATGAAGCAAGTTTTGTTTCATCTACAGAGATAATCATACTTTACAGATTCTTGCTGTATAAATTTCAAAATAACATCTCAGCAATAACTTAAGATGTATGTTTAACTATGTTACTATTTATTCAAATGGTTAATTCTGTCAGCACAAATGTCAGGTAGTTTTAAAAGATATCACGTCTCTTGAATCTGTTCGACTACACTGTTTCTAAGTCAGTATTATTACTTTCCAAGATTCTACAGTCATTGAGCCTGATAAGAACATCCACAGGCTTCCATGGCTTTCCTTCTTAGAACATTATATTAAATATTAGTCTTTAAGGCTTTAAATTTCAAACTATACAACATGAAAGAGTGCCATGTTCATTTCAGCAAATTTTCAAATATTTATAGAACAAAGTCCTGCACTAATTATATAATATTTTCCATTCCCCAGTTCTTATTCCCACCAGTCTCTCCTGTATCTATTGCACTAAAGTCTTAAGCTCTTTGATCAGAGCTATCAATGGGAAAATGAAAGTGAATAAGAATTACTTGATGA